AATGAACAGATAGTGGTTCTCAGCTGAGACATGAGAAGTAGAAAAAAGAAACAATGGAAATCCTAGAACTACAAAAAACAAACAAACAAACAAACAAACAAAAACCTGAAATGAAAAAGTTACTGGAAGCCTTAACAGATTGGAGAAGATAGAAGTGAAATGACATTAGATGGAAACGAGTGTTTACCAGAGGCAATGAATAGCACTAGAAATAGCAAACAGCATGGAAAAACAAAAACTATGTTTTTTCTTATTTTACTTAAAAGACAACAAGCTATAACAAGGTTTATAACATTGTATTATTGTAGTATGTATTTTATAACATATATAAAAGTACAGTTTCAGACAATGATAGCAAAAAGGATGGGGTGGAATTATATGGTTGTGATGGTCTTATATTTTACCTAATGTGGTACAATATTAGTTCTAAATAGATCGAGATAAGTTGCGGATACACATTGTAATCCCTAGTGCAACCACTAAATACACACACGAATAATATATAGAGTGTATACAAATATATATTCATATGTGTGTATGGAGAGAGACATATAGCTAAAAGAATACAAAGAGTTATAGCTAAAAGAAGTTAAAGTTATATTTGATTAATGTACATCAAAGGAGTCCATTTTACTGGATGACACAGCAAAACCCTATCTCTTAAAATTATTGAATTAAAAATTTGTTGTTTGAAAAGATGCAATTGGTAAATCCCTGGCAAGACTGAATTTCTTTTTTCTTTTTTTTTTTTTTTTGAGATGGAGTCTCGCTCTGTCGCCATGCTGGAGTGCAGTGGCGCAATCTTGGCTCACTGCAACCTCCACCTCCCAGGTTCAAGTGATTCTCCTGCCTCAGACTTCTGAGGAGCTGGGACTATAGGCACACACCATGACACCCAGTTAATTTTTGTATTTTTAGCAGAGATGGGGTTTCACCATGTTGGTCAGGATGGTTTTGATCTCTTGACTTCATGATCTGCCTGCCTTGGCCTCCCAAAGTGCTGGGATTACAGGTGTGAGCCACCACGCCTGGCCAAGACTGATTTTTTAAAAAGGCAAAAAGATAATAAGGTCTATCATGAACACCATATGCCAATATATTTAACAATTTAGAGGAAATGATCAAATTCTTTGTGTTATAATATAAACTTTTCCACATTAAAATTTCAAGCTGGCCAGGCGTGGTGGCTCACCCCTGTAATCCCATCACTTTGGGAGGCCAAGGGGGTTGGATCACCTGAGCTCAGGAGTTCGAGACCACCCTGGTAACATGGTGAAACCCCGTCTCTACTAAAACTACAAAAAAATTAACTGGGTATGGTGGCACATGGCTCTAGTCCCAGCTACTTGGGGGCTGGGGCAGGAGAATCACTTGAGCCCTAGAGGTGAAGTCTGCAGTGAGCCGAGATAGTGCCACTACACTCCAGCTTGGGCTACAGAGTGAGACTCTGTCTCAAACAAACAAACAAACAAAAATTTAAGGTGTTCCAGCAGTGCTTCATAAATTGAGCAGTTACAAACCAGAAGTGGTTTGGGGCTCTGTTAGAAGGGGTTGCAGAGCAAAGAAATTGTTTCATTGGTTAAAGTTTGAGTGTTTGCCTTATTTGGACTATCCAAATGAGAAATTTATGACAATACAACCAATATCCCAGTTAGCCAACTGTGATTGGCTAAACTTAAGTTTCATTTTCCTCATGAGGGTATTAGAGCTACATAAGTCTAATGGCTTACCAATTATTTTAACACTTGAGAAGCACAATTTATCAAAACTGATTAAAGATTAAAAGTCAGAATAGCTTTGTATCTAATTGAGAAATTGAATTCATTATAAAGAATCTTCAAACAAGGAAAATGTCAAGCCCAAATGGTTCTGTTAAACATTTAAGAGAAAAATGATACCAATCTGAAGCAAACTCTTGTTTTATGAGACTGGCATAACTCTGATATCAAAACCTGATAAAGGCATTACAAGAAAATAAAATTATTGACTAATATTCCTCATGAACACAGACACAAAAATATTTATGAAAATACTCATTTGGTCATGATATAGCATCCTTTGTATCTACAACCAAATGAGATTTATCCCAGGAATGGTAGGTTGGGTTAACATTCAAAAATTGATCAATGAAATTTGGTATGTTAACAGAATATATGATCACCTCAATAAATGCAGGAAAAAACATTTGAAAAATTCAACACCCATGCATTATAAAAACTCAGCAAACCAGGAATAAAAGAGAACTTCATCAATCTGATAAAAGGTATCTGAGAAAAATTTACAGCTACCATATTAAGTTATTATTACTACATTGATTATTTCCCCACTGAAATTAGCAATAAAGTAATGGTGTCAACAGTCACCACTTTTATTTTACTTTCTATAGGAGACTCTAGAAGTTACCATAATAAAGAAAGGAAGCAAAAAGCATGAAGACTGGAAAAAAAGAAGTAAAACTGGCTAGGCGTGGTGGCTCATGTCTGTAATCCCAGCACTTTGAGAGGCTGAGATGGACGGATCGCTTGAGTTCAGCAGGTTGAGACCAGCCTGGGCATCAGGGCGAAACTCCATCTCTACAAAAAAATACAAAAATTAGCTGGGTGTAGTGGTGTGCACCTGTGGTCCTAGCTACTCAGGAGGCTGCGGTGGGAGGATCCTTGAGCCTGGGAGGTGGAGGCTACAGCAGCCTGGTTGACAAAGTGAGACCCTGTCTCAAAAAGAAAAAGTAAAACTGTAATGAAAGGAAATAAAAGGCATAAAGATTGGAAAGGAAGAAGTTAAATTATGTATTCACAAATGACATCATTATTTATCTAGAAAATTTAAAGGAATTTACAGAACAATTACTAGAACAAATAAGTGAAGTTAGCTATGTTGCCTGTTTTAAGGTCAAAAAACAAAAATCACTTGTATTTTTTTTTTTTTTTTTTTTTTCGTGAGATGGAGTCTCACTCTCTCGCCCAGGCTAGAGTGCAGTGGTGTGATCTCGGCTCACCGCACCCTCCAATTCCTGGGTTCAAGCGATTCTCCTGCCTCAGCCTCCCAAGTAGCTGGGATTACAGGTGCCTGCCACCATGCCCGGCTAATTTTTGTACTTTTAGTAGAGACAAGGTTTCACCATGTTGGCCAGGCTGGTCTTGAAAGCCTGACCTCAGGTGATCCACCCGCTTCGGCCTCCCAGAGTGCTGGGATTACAGGCGTGAGCCACCGCGCCTGGCCAATCATTTGTATTTCTATACAGTAGCAACAGACAATTTGAAAATGAAATCTTAAAAACAATTCCATTGACAGTATCATCAAATAACATAAAATAGTTCAGAATAGCCAGGTGTGATGGTCCATGCCTGTAGTCCCAGCTACTCTAGATGGCTGAGGTAGGAGGATTGCTTGAGTCCAGGTGGATTCCTTGAGCCCACCAGTTCAAGGCTGTAGCACACTATAATTGTGCCTGTTTGAATAGCCACTGCAATCCAGCTTGGGCAACATAGTGAGACTCCATCTGTAAAATAAAATGAAACAAAACTAAAATACTGCTGAGAGAAATTATAGACCTTAGTAAATGAAAAGACATACCATGCTTATGGATTAGAAGACTCAATATTGTTAAGATGTCACTTCTCCCCAAGTTTATCTGTAGGTTCAATGCAATCTTGATCAAAATCCCAATAAGCTTTTTTTGGGGGGAGGAAGGGGTAATTGACAAGTTGATTCTTATTTCATATGGAAATGCACAGGGATTCAAGGTTGCAGTGACCCCTGTTTGCACCACTGCACTCCAGCCTGGGAGACAGAGTGAGACCTTGTCTCAAAGAAGAAATTTAAAAAAATAAATAAATAAAAAGGAATGCAAAGAATCTCAAATAGCTAATATCTTCACATTGAAAAAACAAATTTGGAGAACTTAGTAGTACCTAAGTTTGAGACTTAGTTGATATCTAAAGTAACCAAGAGACACTGGTATTGTCATAAGTAGTAGAAAGTAGAATATAACAAGAGTCAGAAATAGACACACATACATTCAATGGACTTGGTTTTTTTTACAAAGGTCCCAAGGCTATCCAATGGCGAAAGGAAAAGTTTTCAACAAATGGTGCTGAAACAATTAGAAATATGGAAAAAGTGAACCTGGACCCCCCATCTCACACCACAACAAAATTATTTTGAGATAGTAATAGACCCAGAAGTAAAGGCTAAAAATATAAATAATCTAAAAGGAAACAATATTTTCATGACCTTGGGGTAGGCAAAGATTTATTAAAGAGGACACAAAAAACAACAGAAGAAAAACCTGAAAAATTGCATCAATATAAGTGTCTGCTCCTCAAAAGACACCTTTAAGAAAATGAAATGGTAAGCCACAGACTGGAAGAAGATACTTCGAATACATATATTTAACAATTTTGTATCCATAATAAATAACTCCTGCCAGTCCATAAAACAAAAAACTCCAAAGTCGGGGAAAAGATTGGAGCAGATGCTTCACAAAAGAATATGAATGACCCAGTGAGCACATGCAAATGTGCCCACCATTAATTATATGGGAAATTAAAATTAAAACCACAATAATATACCATTTCACACCGACCAAGATGGAAGTTAAAAAAAAAAAGAAAGAAAGAAAGGCTGACCAATGTGTCTATCTACTGGAGCTCTCCTACTGCAGGTGGGAATGTAAACTGGATATAATCAATCATTTTGGAAAACAGGTGGCGGTTTCCCATAAAGCTAAACATCGACTTACCCTGGCACCCAGCCGACGTGGGAGAGCTGGGTACACCGGTGTACACTTTACAAAACTCATCGAATTGCACACTCAGATTGTGTGCATTTTACTGTATCTAAACGTTAGCGCTATAAAAGCAAAACAAAATATAAGATCATAAAAATAAAAGCAGTTCCTAGGGGTCCCCTCCTTTTCCTGGCTTCCTCGGTGCGGAGGGAAACGAAACTAGCGAGAGGCAGCACAGCCTCCGCGGCCCCCGCCCACCGCTAGTTGCACTTTCGATTTTCCTTTTAGTTATTAAGATTCCCATGCAGCTCCGCCTCTCGTCCGGTATCATTTCAGCGGAAAATCCTTGCTTTCCCCTCTGGCCACGCCCTCCTCCTACCCGGCTTTAAAGCTAGTGAGGCACACAGCCGGGCGGGCACGTAGCTAGAAGCAGAGGCTGGCATGACTACGGAGCAGCGGCGCAGCCTGCTAGCCTTCCAGGATTATATCCGGAAGACCCTGGACCCTACCTACATCCTGAGCTACATGGCCCCCTGGTTTAGGGAGGGTGAGTGTCCCCAGCGGCGCCTTCTCGGCGGAATACATCTGAGGACTTGTTTTTCTCTTGCTTCGCTCCCTTCTTTTAATCTATACAGATAGCCTGCCAGACACCCTAGTTTGTGGTAAGATCTCCGCAGCATTTTAGGCTAGAGGTTGCCAGAGTTTGAGGAGCCCTCGGAGGCCTAGGTGGGGAAACTGAGTTCCAGCGAGGTGAAGCGACTTGCTTAAGGGTGCTTATCTATTTAGTTCAAAGCTGGGGAAGAAATGTTCTATTTGTTTAATTTATTTTCACTAATATTAAAGTCTACTGTGCTTGGCTGGATACTGACAGAGATTGAGAAATGAGATAAGGGCTCTTCCTTAGTATACATTACAGCCCAAGGGATGGGACACAAAGGTCAGATAATTACTGTACTGAGCACAAAATGCGCTCTGAGCTTAAAGGAAGTTGATGCTTACTCTGCCGAGTCTTATTTTCACATCCAAAGAACTGGAAGCTGGAGAGGAGCCGGACTTTTCCAGACGTTAGGCTTTAATACAGGTGTTTCCATCTAGCTTCGGAGACAGGTGATCCTGGGTAATGACCATTTGTAAATTTGTATCAAATTACTTTCTGCTGGCGATGAGCAGAGGCTTTTGGGAAAGAGGTGAAAGGAGGTGGTACTTACAAGATATCGATGAGGCCCGCCGCGGTGGCTCACGCTGTAATCCCAGTTGTAGAGCACCCGATGCTGTTGCTGTTCGGGGTGCCACTATGAAACCCGCACGGACCTAGGGGGACTGAACAAAGGGGGGCAAACGTGGGAATAAAAGACAAGAGACAAAAGAGTATATTTGGAAGAAGAGATCAGGGGGCACCTTGCGTCTAGTGGACAAGGGCCCTGAGCTTTACACAGCCCTCCTTATTTATTAGGCAAAAGAGTGAGAAGTGGGGGTGGTTGACAAGGGGGGGTGGTTGACGGTGGGCAGCTTGATTCACAGCAGGTTTGCAAGACTGCATTCTTCGAACAATAGGTGCTAGATTTCTCAATAAATAATTTCAAGGAGCCCAGCACCAGGGAGTGAGGCTCTCAGCAAACCTTTTGGTGGCAAGGCACTGTGAGTTTGCTCACCTGCTGCATTCATGATAAGCAGTTTGTTGTTTGATCATATAGCCTCCAGCGGAATGCTGAGTTGGTCACGGTCCCAAGGGCCTTCAGCTCCCTGCACCCGGCACTTTGGGAGGCTGAGGCAGGCGGATCACAAGGTCAGGAGTTCAAGACCAGCTTGGCCAATATGATAAAACCCCGTCTCTACTGAAAAATACAAAATTAGCCAGGCGTAGTGGTGCACGCCTGTAGTCTCAGCTACTCAGGAGGCCCAGGCAGGAAAATCGCTTGAACCAGAGGCACGGAGGTTGCGGTGAGCCGAGATCATACCACTGCACTCCAGCCTGGGCGACAGCTGTCTTGAACTACCTAATAGGGCGTGTCATTGAAAGCTGAGGAAGCAATGAGGAGCACGGTAGAAACCGTCCCTGCCCTAATAGTGATTAGTGTGCGTATGTGAATGCAGGTAACAAAATAGTAAATAATAAAGTGCAGCAGTGCTTTGATGGAAAAAAGCTGGGATGTCTACTAGAGTCCAAAGGGCACAGCCAAAGCTTCCCAGATATTTGGCATTTGAACTGAGGTATGAAGGAGGAGAAAAAATTAGCTGGAAGGGGACAATAATAAATTGCAGTTAGAGGGCTCCTTATGTGCAAAGGTCCAAGATGAAAGAGAAACCAGAATGTTCCAGGTATCCAGAAAATATTAGTATGGTGGCATTGTGGAGAGAGAGGCAGGAGTTGAGAGAGATGAGACTTGAGAGGCAAGCAGAAGTGGGATATGAACAGTTTTGGACTTTATCCACTGAAATGTGATAAGGAGAGGGGACCAAAATAGAATTTGCATTGTAGAAAAACGACTTTGACTTCAGTTTGAGGAACTGCTTGGATAGGTACAAGACAGGGAGAAAGAGAAGGGCAGATGCAATGATGCCAGGACAGCAGAGTGGAAAATCTGGAAGCAGGGAGACCAGTTAGGAAAATAGGAATCCAGAGGAATGGGAAGAAATGGATGGATTCAAGACACAGTTGGAAAGTAGAATCAATAGGTCTCTTGGGGAGTCGTGGTGAGGAGGTAAGGGTGAGGACAGGGTGGAGAATGACTTCCAGGTCTCTGGCTTTGGTCCTTGGGTGAATAAATGGTAGTTTCTGAGATAGGAAATGTGGGAAGAGGGACAGGTTTGCAGGAGAAGAAAAATTCGGATTTAGGTATGCTGGGTTTGTATGCCTTGGACACATCAATGAAGAGATGTTCATCAGATTGTTGGCTGCACAGGTGTGGAGTTCAGGAAAAGGGTCCACAGTTGGGGAGACATTAATGTAGAGATCCTTGCTGAAACAATGAGAGTGGGTGCGATTGTTACTGAAGCACCAGGGATTCAGCCTAGGTTCTGTTGCTGCCTGCACAGAAAGCCAATCACTGAGATGACAAGTATCACCAGGGCTTTAATTGGGAGCTGCAGCAGAGGAGGTAGGAGATCAGTCTCAAATCCATCTCCCTGACCCATTGAAATTAGGGGTATGGATAGAAGAAAAGAAATATAACTAGGTGTTGGAAAATGGACTCTGGAGGGGTGAGGAAGCAATCATGAGAAATGAGGGGCCTGGTGTCTCATTGTCCGGATGTGATGATCTGATGAGTTTCAGTTCTTTTATATCTTTTGAGAGGCCTGGGGGTCCCTTTCCTGGGGAAGGAACTCAGATAAAACAAATATAAGTTTCAGCTTTAAGATCAGAAGGGTCAATTTCTGTGTTTATTCGAAAGAATTGTATATGGGACTATTGTGTTGGTTTCAGTCCCCCTCTTTCTATTTATCAATTCCTGGATCATGGGGAATCTGATCCTCAATCTTTCTGGCAGCTTCATGCTGAGGAATGGTGTGGGTGCAGTTCCATACTATGGGTGACCACGTGGCCACCCAGGAATCAAAAGTTAATCTAATACTATAGTTTTTTCTGAGACACAATCTATATCATTACTGTTCCCCACTTCCACCAAAGACATATCACACCAGGGTGGGCCTACCTGCGAAATAAGCCTCAGTTACATATACTTGGCTTATTTACCCACACAAAGTGCAGCAAAAATTATTGTCTATATGGGCTCTCCTAATTGGCTTTGCTGGAACCTCTCACAAGGCCATTTCAGTCAAAGCCCTGGGAAAATAACTTGTTCCTCCAACTGTGTCCCATTATAAAAGAAAACAGATTTTTATTAAATGTATGCAAGAAAACACATTGCCATGAATTAAGAGTATTCACAAATAGTTTATAAATTCTGGAGAAATTAGGGAGAGAGAAAATGCCTTAAATTCTGTTTACAAGGGTATACTCTACTTAATATACTGTATTCTTAAAGGCTACGAAGCTTAAAAGAAAAAAATTCTCCAGATTCTGAAAAACAAAAATTCTCCAGACTTTTTCAAACACAACCATAAAAAATTATTTCAGTCTCACATTAGTTCAGTCCATGCAATCAACTCCTGCTGTGCTTCATATTGGGTTAGTCATCTTTATAAACATGTTGTTCTTTTAATTAAGAGGGACTCTAGAAGTTTTCTGTAGGACATTTTCTAGGACTCTAAGAGTCCTAGAAGTTTTCTGTATTCCAGTGGCACAATCTCCAAAGTTATCAGAAATCTGCATTCAAGACTCCTTTTCATGAAGTCCCCTAAATAAACAATCTCTGGACTACATCTGATTATAAGTCACTTTTTGAGAAGAATCGATGCAAAACAATTGTGATGACAAAAGTCTTAGGAGAGCCATAAAGACACAGTTGGCAAGGAAATTTTTTTTTCTGTTGGCATACAACACTTTAACGTAATAATCATCATTACTGACACCATATATTAAGACATATCAGAATTTTAGGAATCTCATATAATCCTGCAACACATATTAATAGCACATCTATATAAATATAACCCAAAGCAAGTTAAATACCACCTCACATTTGATAATGCTTCCTGTATAATTCTAACATACCAAAGAAGCCTAACATGTCTCTCTTGGACTTCAAGGAAGCTAATATACAAAAAAGTTAGTTTGAGGTAAAAACAAAACAAAAAACCTGAATTTAGAACTTGAAATTTTTGCTGTTGGGAAGTCTGTCAGTTATCAAAGATTTAAGACACTTGATATCACAAAATAGGATCACAGGTCACTATAAAATAGTTATTCATTTAGCCAAAAACATAAAACATTTACCCTTTGATAGGTGACTCAGTTTCCTAAACAATACGGCCTAATAAAGACAGCATGAGGCCAACTAAATGTCTCTCCCTCTCCTTTTTCTTCCCCCTACAGTTTACTCAAAAGGTAAACAAATATTTTATCTCATTAATAATATACAAACATCTTATTCAAAAGAGAACATCAAATTTTACCTTTGTATGGTATATTTTTAATGTTAAAGCTAATTTTAATAAAACCTTGTAAACCTAATTTTAATCAGTTTGACTATAAGGTAGGATTTCTGTAAACTTTTTTTTTTTTTTTTTTAGATGGAGTCTTCTGCTCTGTTGCCCAGGCTACAGTGGTGTGATTTTGGCTCACTGCAACCTCCACCTCCTGGGTTCAAGCAGTTCTCCTGCCTCAACCTCCCTAGTAGCTGGGATTACAGGCCATGCCACCACATCTGGCTAATTTTTATATTTTTAGTAGAGACAGGGTTTCATCATGTTGGCCAGGCTGGTCTCCAACTCCTGACCTCAGCTGCTCCGCCTGCCTCGGCCTCTCAAAGAAGTGAGATTACAGGCGTGACCCACCACACCCAGCCTGAGCCACCACGCCCAGTCTGAGCCACCACACCCGGCCATCTTTTTATAACCTTTTACGATTTCCTATTAAAGAGTAGAGTAATGCTCCAAGAAAACCCTGTTATGACACAGGGGCCCAGACATTGGTCTTGCATCAGT